TCGTAGAACTTCTACCATTGCTGTTTACGAACGACCACTTTATGTGTATACATATAAATTTCTGTAATGAACAACGTCAATTAAATGACTATAATAATATTTCAGTGATAAAGAACAAACGCATATTTCATTAGTCATTTTCTCCTGGAATATGTAAAACTCTCACAAACAGATGTATCCAGCTTAGCAGGCATTGTTTTCGATGCAAGCGAATTTCACATGCAAATGGAAATGTTCTTATTGCAACTGAAGCGTATTATTTTCTAGTTTCATTTCAATCGGAATATGAAAGTTATTTGGTTTGATAACAGTCCATTGGACGTAAAAAATACGGATCATGTACCAAATGGCCTATAGCAACTTCAATGAAACTTTTCTCATGCGAAGGGAGATCCCACTGGCGCATGTAAATTTCAAAGTGGTCAATTTCAGCTCGCGTCTATGATTTGTTTCCAGTAAGAGACTAATGTCCAGTAATGTCGTAACGAAATGTTTTATGGAGCCGGAAAATTGTACGTACGCAAGCGCAGTATTCACAGGTCGGAATTGTCCTGACGACGACGCGCGGCTAGTCGCACGCGAGCATTCAACATGGATAAAATAATCCCAACAGAGACTGCACAGAAGGACATAAAATACGCCACGCAGTTGGTGAAACGGATTTTAAGTATAGTGGGCGCCTGGCCAGTTCTGGCCACTTCTTCGTTCTCCAAGAAGCTCGCACAAAAGATCAAAAACTTTATCTCGTACTTCCTAATTCTGCTGCTGCTCATACCGGGTCTCGCGCAAATATTCCTGAAAGAGAAAGAGACCAAAGTTAAACTGAGACTGATGGCGGCGATGATCAACGCGGGAATGCAGTTCTCAAAATACACTCTACTTCTGTATCACGAGAAGAAAATAATACACGGTTTAAATTTGATCAAGAAGGATTGGATGAGCGCCACGTCCGAAAATCGGCTAATTTTTTTAGAGAAAACGAAAATCGGGAGGAGGATAGTTCTGATAGCGGCGAGCACGATTTACAGTAGTGGCTTAGGATATCGCATCTTCCTTCCCCTGTCTAGGGGAACGATCGTCACTCCGGATAACATTACGATTAGGCCATTACCTTGCCCGAGTTACTTCATCTTTATAGACGAACAACAGACTCCGAGATACGAGATACTATTTGTGCTGCAAATCATGGCTGGATTCGTAACTTACACGGTGATAGCCGGCAGCTGCGGGATTTGCGCGCTTATGGTGCTCCACGCGTGCAGCATGCAGAGAATCTTAATGAACAAAATGCGGGATCTGGTGGAAGGAGCGGAAATATCCGAAACCGCGGTAGTACATCAGAAAATCGCGGATATTGTCGACTATCAGACAAAAATAAATGAGTGAGTTATACTATTGAATTGAAGAAACAGAAGAAAACCATGCGCTATTTTTATAGAATATGTCTATTGCACTCGTGATTTGATTGCAGATTTGTAAGGAACATTCAAGGGATTACAGAATACATTTGCCTGAGTGAAATGTTAGGAGGCACGTGTCTAGTGTGCCTCCTCGAATATTGCACTCTCTTGGTACGAATACATAAGTAAATACCAAAAGAATACTTGTAGACATTCTATAAGAGAGATTGACATATTTTAGGAATGGGAGAATAAGAATACCACTGGTGTGGTCGTCTATATTATGTTAATAACATCTTTCACATTCAGTATTTTCGTACTTTGTAACATCGGTCAGCTGCTCGTCGACGAAGTATGGATTGGACCTTGTTAACGCAATTTCGTCCGATATTTTAAATGAACGTGTTTAAGTCTAAATATGTTATCAGAGTAACGACGCGGGGAAGACATCGAGCACGTTAGAGTGGTATCGGATGCAAGCGAAACAGGCGCATTCTTTGATACTTATTATTGCAATGTCGAATTATCCGATGAAGCTAACGGCTGGCAAAGTGATGGAAATGTCATTGACTACTTTCACAGATGTGCGTATACGAATATTTTCTGAACGCACTTTCTTCATCGGTTATGTTAAATTGTTTTTAGGTCATAAAATTATCATTGGGATACATGAACATGCTGCGTCAAGTAGTTTAATCATTGTATCAGTACTTACATTCACGAGAAAGATGCCATCAATAGAAGTCATAGAGAAAGTCCAGAATTGTATTCCTAGAAAATTAGTAACTCTTTAATAAATATACATTTAAGTGTATCCAACGATTTATTTAAAAAAATTTATTTCGTCACATTATTCCACAGTTCTCGACACAACGTGATGCAAAGAAAAAAAAAAATTACCGTGTCCGCAAGGAAGATTTCCAGCCTGCTGCAGTCTTTATGTCAGACGTACACTATTATGATTCCACGTGTATTATAAAAAAGCAATCTGTTCTTACCATAATCAGTAGATTCGATTGACGGTCATACCAAAGTCAATGGAAGTCTGCAACGGCGGTGGTATCGACAGTCCCATGGTTCCGATGGAACCCATGCAGCCGACGAAGAGCAGTATTCCTGTACCGATCACCTCGGCGATTAACATTGTCATCGTTCCCTTCTGCATGATCCATATCTTGTCTAAAAACGATCACCATATTTGATTTCGATTCCTATAACGGTTATTACAATTCACGCATCAGTGATGCTCACTCTTGCAGCTGATCTCGCGGGCGTCGGTCTCCATGGTGCACCAGTTAAGTCTTCAGTCGGAACTAACAACTCCCGGGACCGCACTGTTACTATAATCAGCACTCGAATTACGAACAATTCTTCATTCACCATCGGTAGATGGGTTTATCGTGCTTCGCAATATTCGTTTCGACAAGAAATTGTCTTATCGATGAGTGCGACAACGATACGATGCATTCTTCGTCGAATCAGTGCTTAATCGTACGGCTCAAGAGATGTTACAAGAAATTTACATGTATTTGCTATTAAAGTAGCGATATCTTTAAAGCGTAACACGCCACGGCACGTGCCAAGGTTGTGATTTATTTTGAAAACTGTGTCAAAATAATTTTCTAAGAGTAGCTGTTGATTCCCTTCTCACAAATCGACTACGAATTGTCTGCGGCGAATGGTACAATTATATCTACGTACGGAACAATAGTCTTAAATTGAAATTTCGGTCGTTTCGTGTTTTCACCTTGCAATTTGTGATTGCGGATGTGTCTAAACCGTGTTTTGCGTGCTCATATTCTGTTTCGTTGGCCAGCTTCTTGTTGACGAAGTATGTCGCTATTATTTTTCTTTACTTTAATTATAATAATCTTGAATACGTGAAATAACCGCTGTAAATATTTCCACTGTTAGAGTCAAAGTGTGAGTCAAATGTCTCGTATGGTGGATTGGTATCTACTAGAAGTGAAGGATGCACGCTCTTTGATATTAATAATCGCTATGTCTAATTATCCGATAAGGCTCACGGCCGGCAAAATGTTGGGACTGTCTTTAACAACATTCACAGATGTATGTAAAACAAAACTCATCGCTTTAATCAACTACACCGTACGAATTTTCATTTTTAGGTCATGAAATTGTCAGTGGAGTACTTGAATATACTACGTGAGGACGTTTAATTAGTAGTGTAATACAACTGTGTCATATTTTTATTAAAATTTGTTCTTGTCTGTGTCTAAAATCAAACGTTATAAGCATATATGTAATGAAGAGAAAATTCTTTTACCACATACATCTTTTATATAGTCACACCAGCAGGACGATCACAATTTTCTTCTCAACGATCCATGTTATACATTCAGGAAATCTATCAAACTCAAAAAAGTTCAGTTCCTATCAAAAATAGCCATAGATAAAATCAAAGTGTCAAACAAATTCTTCGTAGAACTTCTACCATTGCTGTTTACGAACGACCACTTTATGTGTATACATATAAATTTCTGTAATGAACAACGTCAATTAAATGACTATAATAATATTTCAGTGATAAAGAACAAACGCATATTTCATTAGTCAATTTCTTCTGGAATATGTAAAACTCTCACAAACAGATGTATCCAGCTTAGCAGGCATTGTTTTCGATGCAAGCGAACTTCACATGCAAGTGGAAAAGTTCTTATTGCAACTGAAGCATCATTATTCTGTAGTTTCATTTCAAGCGGAATATAAATGTTATTTGGTTTGATAACAGTCCATTGAACATACAAAGTACGAATCATGTACCAAATGGCCTATGGCTAATTCAATGAAACTTTTCTCATGCGAAGGGGGACCCACTGGCGCAGGTAAATTTCAAAGCGATCAATTTCTGCTCGCGTCTATGATTTGTCTTCAGTAAGAGACTAATATCCAGTAATGTCGTAACGAAATGTTTTATGGAGCCGGAAAATTGTACGTACGCAAGCGCAGTATTCACAGGTCGGAATTGTCCTGACGACGGCGCGCGGCTAGTCGTACGCGAGCATTCAATATGGATAAAATAATCCCAACAGAGACTGCACAGAAGGACATAAAATACGCCACGCAGCTGGTGAAACTGATTTTAGGTATAGTGGGCGCCTGGCCAGTTCTGGCTACCGCTTCGTTCTCCAAGAAGCTCGCACAAAAGATCAAAAACTTTATCTCGTACTTCCTAATTCTGCTGCTGCTCATACCGGGTCTCGCGCAAATATTCCTGGAGGAGAAAGAAACCAAAGTTAGACTGAAACTGATGGCGGCGATGATCAACGCGGGAATGCAGTTCTCTAAATACACTCTACTTCTGTATCACGAGAAGAAAATCATACACGGTTTAAATTTGATCAAGAAAGATTGGATGAGCGCCACGCCCGAAAATCGGCTGATTTTTTTAGAGAAAACAAAAATCGGAAGGAGGATAGTGCTGATAGCGGCGAGCACGATTTGCACTAGTGGCTTAGGATATCGCATCTTGCTTCCCCTAATGAAGGGAACGATCGTCACTCCAGATAACATTACGATCAGGCCATTACCTTCCGCGAGTTACTTCATGTTTATAGACGTACAACAGACTCCGAGATACGAGATACTATTTGTACTGCAAATCATGGCTGGATTCGTAACTTACATGGTGATCGCCGGCAGCTGCGGGATTTGCGCGCTTATGGTGCTCCACGCGTGCAGCATGCAGAGAATCTTAATGAACAAAATGCGGGATCTGGTGGAAGGAGCGGAAACATCCGAAACGGCGGTAGTGCATCGGAAGATCGCGGATATCGTCGACTATCAGACAAAAATAAATGAGTGAGTTATACTATTGAATTGAAGAAACAGAAGAAAACCATGCGCTATTTTTATAGGATATGCCTACTACACTCGTGATTTTATTGCAGATTTGTAAGGAACATTCAAGGGATTACAGAATACATTTGCCTGAGTGAAATTTTAGGAGGCACGTGTTTAGTATGCCTCCTCGAATATTACATTCTCTTGGTACGAATACATAAGTAGATATCAAAAGAATACTAGTAGACATTCTATAAGAGAGATTGACATATTTTAGGAATGGGAGAATAAGAATACCACTGGTGTGGTCGTCTATATTATGTTAATAATATCTTTCACATTCAGCATTTTCGTACTTTGTAACATCGGTCAGTTGCTCGTCGATGAAGTATGGGCTGGACCTTGTTAACGCAATTTCGTCCCCTATTTTAAATGAACGGGTTTAAGTATAAATGTTCGTGTTACCAGACTAACTACGCGGGGAAGACATCGAGCACGTTAGAGTGGTATCGGATGCAAGCGAAACAGGCGCATTCTTTGATACTTATTATTGCAATGTCGAATTATCCGATGAAGCTAACGGCTGGCAAAGTGATGGAAATGTCATTGACTACTTTCACAGATGTGCGTATACGAATATTTTCTGAACGCACTTTCTTCATCGGTTATGTTAAATTGTTTTTAGGTCATAAAATTATCATTGGGATACATGAACATGCTGCGTCAAGTAGTTTAATCATTGTACCAGTACTTACGTTTACGAGAAAGATGCCATCAATAGAAATCATAGAGAAAGTCCAGAATTGTATTCCTAGAAAATTAGTAACTTTTTAATAAAAATACATTTGGGTGTATCCAACGATTTATTTAAAAAAATTTATTTCATCAAATTATTCCACAGTTCTCGACACAACGTGATACAAAGAAAAAGAAAATTACCGTATCCGTAAGGATGATTTCCAGCCGGGTGCGCGTTTCAGTGAGCAGTACGTGATTCTCTTCGACATTAGTACAGACAGTCTTCATGACATAACGAACAACAGCTTTTTGCCAGCCAAAATTGCATACGCTACATAGAATGCGCCAATGTATACTTTTCGAAAGCTTTCTCAAGCGAGTGCTCCCGCGTAACACATCTAAATTTCAAAATGATCATTTTTCAAGCTACGCTTTACGTTCGGTAAGAGACTAGCAATCTTCTCAAGCGTAATGTCTCAGTGGAATATTTAACGATGAAAATTTTATATACGCAAGCGCGTTATCGTACGACACGACGAAACCCCTCCCACGTCGACGCATGATTAGTTGCACGCGAGCATTCAACATGGAAAAAATATCTCGTATTACGAGAGCGGAGGCCGACATAAAATACGCCACGAAATTAGTGGAACAGATATTGGGGATAGTGGGTGCCTGGCCCGTTCCAGACTCCTCTCCGTTCTCCAAAAAGATCATCCAGAAAATTAAGAACGTTATCGCATACTTTCTCTTCCTGCTGATCATCGTGCCGGGCCTCTTATGCATATTCCTGAAAGAGAAGAACAACAAGGTGAAGCTGAGGCTTTTGGCGCCGCTTATCAACTGCGGTATGCAGGTCTCCAAGTACACGATTCTTTTGTATCACAAGAAGGAAATCTTGTACGGTTTAGATTTGATGAAGCATGACTGGATAAATGCTTCGGACGAGAATCGGCAGATTTTCCTTGAGAAAACAAAAGTAGGAAGGAGGATAGTGTTGATAGCCGCGGCAACGATCTACAGCGGTGGTTTGGGATATCGGACGTTCCTTCCCCTGGCGAGGGGGACGATCATCACTCCGGATAACATTACGATCAGGCCATTACCTTGTCCGAGTTACTTCATTTTTCTGGACGAACAACAGACTCCGAACTACGAAATATTGTTCTTGCTGCAAGTCGTGGCCGGGTTCGTAGTTTACACGGTTGTCGGCGGATCCTGCGGGATTTCGGCACTCCTAGTCCTCCATGCGTGCAGCATGGTAAGAATCCTGATTAACAAAATGAAAGTTCTCGTGAGAGAAACACAGATGTCTGAAATGGAAGTGCATCAGAGGATTGCGAGTATGGTCGACTATCAGACGAGAATAAATGAGTAAGTGAAATTGGAAATAAATGAATGTTCAATATAACGTAATTCGTGATTCGAATAACAATTACCGATCACTGACTATGTCTAAGTGAAATGAGAAGTAAATAGACTACTGGTACGTATGTACAATATTTGCGATTTAATTACAGATTCTTAAGGAACATTCAAAAAATTACAGAATACGTTTGCCTAAGTGAAATGTTAGGAGGCACTTGTCTGGTATGCCTCGTCGAATATTGTATTCTCATGGTACGAATATAGAGCTAAACGCGGAAAGATTACTTTCAGAAATATAAAAGAAATGGAAATATTTTAGGAGTGGGAGAATAAGAACACCACCGGAGTGGTGGTGTATATCATGTTGACAGCATCTTTCACGTTCTGTATTTTTGTACTCTGTCACATTGGTCAACTGCTCGTTGACGAAGTATGAACAACGCGATTTTATTTACTAAAAATAAACAGTTTTAAGGATGAATGTTTGTGTTAATAGAACGACGAAGCGGGCCAGGCATCGAGCTCGATAAATTGGTATCGAATGCAAATGAAACAGGCGCACTCTTTGGTACTAGTTATTGCAATGTCGAATTATCCAATCAAGCTTACGGCTGGCAAAGTGATGGAAATGTCACTAACTACCTTCACAGATGTGCGTATACGAATATTTTCTCAACGCGCCTCTTTCGACGATTATATTAAATTATTTTTAGGTCATAAAACTATCGTTGGGATACATGAACATGTTGCGTCAAGTAGTTTAATAATTGAACCAATACTTCTAATTATGTGCATTAGAAAGATGTGACCGATAGAAAACGCATACTTCTTCTCCGATAGATATCCTGTTGGGAATGTAGAAACATGTTTCTAGTCAATTAGATATTTTTCAACAATAGTTATTTAACTACATTCAGTGAACTTTATTTTATCAAACACACCTTTCGACACGTTCCAATTTTCCAGACATTATTCATGAAGATCGTATGAAGCCCAGCAGTCGGCATGACTACACATACTACACTACAATAATACACATCCAATTAAATAACAATAAATGCAGCCTGAAAAAATAGTTGAAGTAAACATGCACGAACATAACAGATATAATTCCTATCATACGGCGCATACATGCAAGTAACATGTTTCACCCTGTACGCAGAACTCTTTTGCATTTACAATCACAGTAATCGGTGTAAGTATCGATGGGAACAATGTACTACAAAAGGAATAGGAGAACTTCGTCTATAAATTGCAGAGTATAATATCCACGGGAAAATTTTCAACAGGCATTTCATGATGCCAGGCTACAATTTTGTATGTACAACGATATTATCTTTAATAACAGCATTTTGCCGATTGAACGTGCGCTTAACATTTCATATGCCCACACGCAAGCGCAATACTATCCATTAAGCCACGTCTGTCGTTACTAGCGGTTAGTCGCGTTCGGGACCGTGATCATGGAGAAAATATCTCGAGTAGTGCAAGTAGAGAAGGATATAAAATACGCGACGCGATTTATGAGACCGATTTTGACATCGGTCGGTGCATGGCCCATTCCAGATCACTGTCCATTGTTCTCGAGGATCGTACAGAAAATTACGCATGCTTTTACATACTTCGTCTTCTTCCTGCTGCTCGTGCCTACTCTCCATTACGTGATCAAAAAAGAGACGAACAACAAGATCAGACTTAAGCTCGTGGCCCCTATAATTAATTGTGGCCTACAGGCGATTAAATACACCATCATCCTGTATCGCATGAAAGAAATGCAGAAAGGTTTAGACACGATCAGACAGGATTGGACAAACGCTACGGAGGAGAATCGATTAATCTTTTTAGGAAAAGCGAAGATCGCGAGGAGGATAATGTTAGCCGTCACTTCGACGATATATGGTGCAGGCATATGTTACAGGATAGTTCTGCCACTTTTGAGGGGAACGATTGTCACACCGGATAATTTTACGATAAGGCCATTACCTTGTCCAGTTTACTTCGCCTATTTAGACGAACAACAGACCCCAATTTATGAAATATTGTTCTTTCTGCAAATCATGGGTGGCTTCGCTTCATACGCGGTCGTCAGTGGATCTTGCGGTATATCCGCCTTCCTCGTTCTCCACGCGTGCAGCATGCTCCGGATCCTGGGCAATAAAATAAAATTGCTCACAGACAAAGGGCATATGACGGAAAAGGAGATACGGTGGAAAATCGCGAACATTGTCGAATTTCAGATGGAAGGCAAAAAGTGAGTGACACTTACATAAGGTGAAGGTAGTTTCGTACTTGTTCTTATAGACAGAGTACACGACTGACACTTTTAACAGTTTTTTAAGACGATAAAGTTATAGAGTGATGTGGGGGTACCCGAAAATCGGGTCGATCGGGTCGGAAAAAAGAACCCGAAATAAATTCCCGACCCGAACCGAGCCCATAGTTTCGAATACCCGTACACCCCGGGTGAGAACACATTGGTTGATTACAGATTTTTAAAGAGCATTCAAGAGATTATAGAATTTATTTGTCTGAGTGAAGTGTTAGGATGTACATGTTTGATATGCCTGGTAGAATATTGTATACTCATGGTACGAACATATGATTATACACGTATAGAAAGAATGCATTCAAAAATACACATACGAAGGAGACTAATTATAATTTTAGGAATGGGAGAATAAGAATACCACTAGCATGGTGGTCTACATGACGTTTACAATCTGTTTCACATTCTGTGCTTTTGTTCTCTGTTACATCGGGCAACTTCTACTCGACGAAGTACGATGTCAATTTTCATTTATCCAGCGCCTGTTCGTCTCTTTAGTGTGAGCATTCCTGTTAACAGAGCAATGTCGTGAGCCAGACGTCGCGCACGATAGACTGGCATCGGCTGCAACCAAAACAAGCGCGTTCCTTGATATTAATCATAGCTATGTCGAATTATCCATTGAAGCTCACGGGTGGCAAAGTGGTAGCAATGTCACTAACTACTTTCACGGACGTGCGTAGAAAAAAAAAGTACTTTACGAATATTTTCTATTTATTATCGCAAATAATTTTGTCATGAATTTTAGGTAATAAAATTGTCATTGGGATACATGAATATGTTGCGTCAAGTAGTTTAACGATTTTATTAGTACTCATTATTTATGACCTAAGGTCATATCAATAGGGAGATGTTACTGGTAGAAATCGTATACGAAATTGAGAAACATATTTCTAGGCAATTAGTAATTTGTTAATAAAATATATTTAAAATATATTTATATATACTTTACCAATTCAAATTGTTCTTGATACGTTCAAATAATTTTTCAATAATGTATAGTTATTCGCACTTTCATTTCAATCGTAAAAAATTGGTAATTGAGTATGCTCTATTCAGTATCACAGCCATGAGTAAATTACCTCTATAAGACTCCATCTTCAACACGAGAAGGAAAACCACATCGCAGAAATAAGTACTTTCTTCGAAACACATTGTACATCATAGCGATTGTCCACCGTGGTTGAAATTACACATTATAAACATAGTGAATTACAAAAATAGTATAATTTTGATTGTACGGCACGGACTTGCGTGCAACTTGTCCCGTCGAACATTGAAAACCCTTTCGCATTTCCTCCATTATAGCAATCAAAGTATCGAACGTAGCAATTTGATAGAAAAATACTGAAGTTAAAAATTGCGAACTACTATAACCACGAGTGAAATTTTCAGACTAGTAATTTAGCCTTCGATCGTAAAATAAAAAATCTTACGGAGAAAAATCGTCTGATATTATAATGTTCGACTAGTTCGAAGTAAGCTTATTATTTTATACGTCCGCACGCAAGCGCGATGCTATCCATTATATCTCGTCTCTCCTCGTTACTGGCGGTTAGTCGCGCTCGAGACCGTGATCATGGAGAAAATCTCTCGAGTAACGCAAGCAGAGGAAGACATAAAATATGCGACGCGTCTTATGAAACCGATTTTGACATCGGTCGGTGCATGGCCTATTCCCGATCACTCTTCATTATTCTCGAGGATCGTGCAGAAAATTACGCATGCTTTCACGTATTTCGTCTTCTTCCTGATGATCGTGCCTACTCTCCATTACGTGATCAAAAAAGAGACAAACGACAAGATCAGACTTAAGCTCATGGCCCCTATAATCAATTGCGGTCTGCAGATGGTTAAATACACCATCATCCTGTACCGCATGAAGGAAATCCAGAAAGGTTTACACACGATCAGACAGGATTGGATAAGCGCTGCAGAAGAAAGCCGATTAATCCTTTTAGAAAAAGTGGAGATCGCGAGGAGGATAATGTTAGCCGTCTCTTCGACGATATATGGTGCAGGCATATATTACAGGATAGTTCTGCCACTTTTGAGGGGAACGATTGTCACACCGGATAATTTTACGATAAGGCCATTACCTTGTCCAGTTTACTTCGCCTATTTAGACGAACAACAGACCCCATTTTATGAAATATTGTTCTTTCTGCAAATCATGGGTGGCTTCGCTTCATACGCGGTCGTCAGTGGATCTTGCGGTATATCCGCCTTCCTCGTTCTCCACGCGTGCAGCATGCTCCGGATCTTGGGCAATAAAATGAAATTGCTCACAGACAAAGGGCATATGACGGAAAAGGAAATGCGGTTGATAATCGCGGACATTGTCGAATTTCAGATGAAAGGGAAAAAGTGAGTGACACTTTTACATAAGGTGAAGGTAGTTTTGTACGTGTTCTTTTAAGATAAAGTACACTTCTGACACTTTTAACAGTTTTTTAAAACGATAAAGTTATACAGTGATGTGGGGGTACCCGAAAGTCGGGTCGATCGGGTCGGAAATACGAACCCGAAAAAAATTCCCGACCCGACCCGAGCCTATAGTTTCGAGTACCCGTATACCCCGGGTGAGAACACATTGGTTGATTACAGATTTTTAAACAGCATTCAAGAGATTATAGAATTTGTTTGTCTGACTGAAGTGTTAGGATGTACGTGTTTGATATGCCTGGTAGAATATTGTATGCTGATGGTACGAACATATGATTACATACGTATAGAAAGAATGCATTGAAGAGTACGAAGGAGACTAATTATAATTTTAGGAATGGGAGAATAAGAATACCACCAGCATGGTCGTTTATATTACGCTTACGTTCTGTTTCACATTCTGTGCTTTTGTTCTCTGTTACATCGGGCAACTTCTACTCGATGAAGTACGATGTCAATTTTCATTTAATCAGCGTGTGTTCACCTGTGCAGTATAAGTATTCCTGTTAACAGAGCGACAACGTCAGGCACACGTCGTGCACGATAGACTGGCATCGGATGCAACCAAAACAAGCGCGTTCGTTGATATTAATCATAGCTATGTCAAATTATCCAATGAAGCTCACGGGTGGCAAAGTGGTAACAATGTCACTAACTACTTTCACGGACGTGCGTAGAAAAAAAAGTACTTTACGAATATTTTCTATTTATTATCGCAAATAATTTTGTCATGAATTTTAGGTAATAAAATTGTCATTGGGATACATGAATATGTTGCGTCAAGTAGTTTAACGATTTTATTAGTACTCATTATTTATGACCTAAGGTCATATCAAATAGGGAGATATTACTGGTAGAAATCGTATACGAAATTGAGAAACATATTTCTAGGCAATCAGTAACTGTTTAATAGAATATATTTATATATACTTTACCAATTCAAATTGTCCTTGATACGTTCAAATAATTCTTCAATAATGTATAGTTATTCACACTTTCATTTCAATCGTATAAGATTGGTAATTGAGTATGCTCTATTCAGTATCACAGCCATGAGTAAATTACCTCTATAAGACTCCATCTCCAATACGAGAAGGAAAACTATATACCAGAAATAAGTACTTTCTTGGAAACACGTTGTACATCATAGCGATTGTCGGCCGTGGGTGAAATGAATCTTTATGAACATAATGGATTACAAAAATAGTATAATTTTGATCGTACGGCACTTGCATGCAACTCGGCCCGTCGTACGTTCAGAACCCTTTCGTCCATTATAGCAATCAACGTGCTGAACGTAGCAATTTGATAGAAAAATATTGAAGTTGAAAATTGCGTACTACAGTAACCACGAGCAAGATTTGCAAACTAGTAATTTAGCTTTCGATGGTAAAATAAAAGATCTTACGGAAGAAATTGTCTTGCGTTACAATATTCGACTAATTCGAAGTAAGCTTATCATTTTATATTCCCGCACGCAAGCGCAGTGCCATCCATTAAACCACATCTCTCCCCGTTACTCGCGTTTAGTCGTGCTCGACAGCTTGATCATGGAGAAAATCTCTCGAGTAGCTCAAGCAGAGGAAGATATAAAATACGCGACGAGATTCATGAAACCGATATTAACTATAGTCGGAGCATGGCCGGTTCCATCTCACTATCCACTGTCCTCGAAGATCGTACAAAAAATGACGCAAGTCTTTACGTATTTTCTGTTCTTCCTTATGCTCATACCACCTTTTCTTTACGTGATCAAGAAAGAGACGAACAACAAGTTCCGACTGAGGCTCATGGGACCCATTATAAACTGCGTCCTGCAGGTACCCAAGTACACCATTATCCTGTACCGTGCGAAGGAGATCCAGAAAGGAATAGACGCGATCAGACAGGATTGGATAGCCGCGACGGAAGACAACCGATTGATATTTTTAGAGAAAGCGAGAATCGGTAGGAAGATAGTATTAGTCGTGGCGTCCACAATGTACGGTGGAGGGGTGTCTTACAGGATCCTCCTGCCTCTTCTGAAAGGGACAATTGTCACACCGGATAATATCACCATAAGACCTTTACCGTGTCCAGTTTACTTTTCCTTTTTGGATGAACAGGTGACTCCGAATTATGAGATATTGTTCTTATTGCAAATTATGGGTGGTTTCGCTACGTACGCGGTCATCAGCGGATCTTGCGGTATATCTGCCTTGCTCGTTCTCCACGCGTGCAGTCTGCTCAGAATTCTGGACAATAAAATGAAACAGTTCTCAGACAAAGAACATACAACGGAAAGAGAAGTTCAACGGGACATCGCAGATGTTGTTGAATTTCATATAAAAGTAAAACGGTAAGTGACATTTTTTAGACAATGAAAGTGTTTGTTCTGTTAATAAAGGATATCGATTTTTTTTTAAAAACGATATGTTTTACATTTCCGTACAAAACACATTGCGGTTGATTGCAGATTTTTAAAGAACATTAAAAAGATCACTGTGTACGTTTACTTAAACGATATGATAGGAGGCACTGGCTTAATATGCCTCGAAGGATATTATATTCTTCAGGTACGTTATTATAATTGGGGAACGTTTATAGAATTATATTTATATGTATGTACGAGACGGACATTTTAGGCGTTGGACGATGGCAATACGACGGCCTTCATTATTTATTTGACGATAGAAATTTCCGTGACATTTTGCGTTTTCATACTCTGTTTCATTGGTCAACTTCTTATCGATGAAGTAAGAAATTATTTTATCGGAAATATCTCTTATATTTTTGTTTTACCTAATAACGAATGTCGATTTCGCATTAAAAGAGTGAAGTCCTGGGTCTAACGTCTTGTACGTTGAATTGGTATCGGCTGCAACCGAGGCAAGCCCGGACATTAATATTGATAATTGTTATGTCTAATTATCCAATGAAACTAACAGCCGGCAAGATGCTTGAGATGTCCTTAGCCACTTTCACAGATGTAAGTACATCGCGAATGAAATAACTTTTTATCTACAATGTCAATACATCTATACATATAAAAATTTTATGGAATAGGTCTTCAAACTGTCGATGGCATACTTGAATATACTTCGCGAAGTCGTTTAAGATTTTCATACTCGAATTATTATGCATAAGAAATACTGGATAATGTACTGCTTCTCAATGACGTGGAAACTAATTTTAGAAAAATACTGACTTTTAAAGAAAAATTAGTTCAATCTATGTCAAAACAATACATTGTTTCTATAACATACCCTCATGAGTCGATCAATACGTAGCACGCTCCATACGAAATTGCTGAAAGTAAGCAGCTCACAACTGTGAAGCCATTTTGTACTGAAAAATCTCCGCAAACTTTCTCAGCACTTGATAAACTGATATAGCTAATATTTGAGGCATCTGGCTAGTATTTCTAATTGACGCATTGTGAATTTCCCAGAGCACTCTGTCAGATACACTGTCGAACAAAAAGAGCACTCTGCCCTAATTTCAATTTTTCTTTTATCGTAAGATTACTCACTTTCATGAAAATATGCCGACTTCTATCGCAGTTAAAATAGCAATAAACGACGATTGCATGGAGGATACTGCATGTAATCACAAGAGAGGAATTATTTGTATAATTTCAGAAATTTCACATGGAACACAATTAATTATGATGGTCAAGAAACGATATTATGATATTGTTTTACGTTACATAATAACAGAGCACTGAGAACGAGCGCTCATCTACGCGCTGCTCGTTCCCCTTCGCTTGCGTTACCTCTTCTAACGTACCTACTTACAGCAATGCATCAATCATTGTTTCCAGCGCAGCGGTTGAACAAGTTTGCAGACGACGGATAACTTTTGTCGGAGATGAAAAGCGTAACACTCTGTCGACACCCCGTCGTGTTAAAAACAAATTCATAATAAAATTCTTACGTACAACATTCCTTATCAACAGATTTTTATAATTTTGTAGAGGGAAAGTTCTTTGGTCAGTAGTGGATGGTTCGAGATCTTTCAATGATTATACCTGATTTAATCGATTCTTATCGAACGTTTATTCAAACGAATCTCACCTATACTTAACACGTTATGTCACCGATCTTTCGCCGTTGGGCGCTAATTATTACCGATTCCTTATTTCATCGCCGGGCGATTCCTCGGAACCGAAACTCGCGGCCCCCTTACGCGGGGAAAAAGGAGAGGACAGCTACGACGCGAATAACAGTGCTCCCTAGCTGGTAAAGCCTAGAATGTTTCAATAGCGATTTCACCCTCCCAGCAAGTAGTAATCGAAAAATCATCTAATCTCTGTTATGAAAGAACTTACCCATAATTTCCCAAGGTATCATTTCATCAACCAATTTCTGATCCTCATCTCTATAAGGGATGTCTGACAATTTCGAAGAATGATATTGTTTAACATTTAATACACGCAAGCGCTATGATGCCCATAAGTTCGAAGCCCATCCCCTCTGCTACTTACGTGTATCCAGTCACATTCGAGCATTCGACGATGGATAAAACGGATGAGATAACAGAGGAGGAGGAAGGTTTCAAGTATACCACGAGTCTTGTGAAACCGATTTTAACAGTGATCGGCGCGTGGCCACTTCCATCTAACTCGTTGCTGCCCGCAAAAATCATACAAAAAATCGCCCAATTCGTCACATACTTCTTATTCTTGTTCTGGCTGGTACCAAATTTCCTGTACATAGTCCTAAAAGAGAAGAACCCAAAGGTAAAAATGAAAATTCTCGGTCCGCTAGTTCTGTACAGCATGCAGCTAATCAAATACACGATTGTGTTACTTCGGATGAAAGAGGTCCGGCAGAGTTTGAATACGGTCAAACGGGATTGGTATACCGCGACGGAGAATAATCGGCTAATTTTCCTCAAGACGGCGAAAGAAGGAAAGAGAATAGTGATGATCGTCGCGGTTACCATATACGGCGGTGGATTAAGTTATCGGCTTGTACCCATAATCAGAGGGTCAATAACGCTAGCTGATAACACCACCATAAGACCCTTACCTGTCGCTTCGTATTCTGTTATTCTGTCATTGAATCCTCAGCAATCTCCAGTTTACGAGATAATCTGCGTCATGCAATTCTTGGGCGGGTTTGCATTGTACTCGGCCACCACAGGGACCACCGGGATCTCGGTCTTGTTGACTCTTCACGCTTGCAGCCTGCTTAGAATCCTGACCAACAAGATGAATCAACTCAGCGAGAAAGAGAATATGCCTGAACATGAAGTACAGCAAAGGATCGCGGATATCGTGGATTATCAATGGAACATAAAACGGTGAATGGAATTTTTGTCAAACAACAAAGCTCTTTTCCTTTCAGTTTTGTCCCAGTACATTAATGTATGTATGCGTATGTACGATTGTACGATCATATCAGTAAACGTAATTTCTAATTCTACTGACCAGTTTTTTGTGGTACAAACATTGTACAAACAATTACATTTGCTTAATTGATAAACAGTTTATACATTTAGGATACTGCTTGATTACAGATTTTTAAACGATGTTCAAAGAGTATTGGAATATATTTGTCTCATCGAAATCGTAGGGGGCACGATTTTAATGTGCCTCGGCGTATATTACATTCTCGTGGTACGAAAGTTGTTGAGCATTCGAAAGTCCTTGAAGCATTTTCAGAAATAAAATACCATTGTTTTGGATCCCACAGGACCTGGCGGATCATAATACTGCATCCATGATAATCTTTTTTACTCTGGGTTTATGTTGTGCGTTTTGTGTTTTCATACTCTGTTACGTCGGTCAACTTCTTCTCAATGAAGTAACGTGCTATACTACTCTTTAACATCTATTATAAACTCCCAAATTGTATCTGGATATTTATCATAAATAATTTGTCTAAAAGAGTCAGATTGTGAGTCAAACATCTTGTACGTTGGACTGGTACCGATTATCGGTGAAACACGCTCGCTCACTAATATTGGTGATCGTCATGTCCAATTATCCGATGAGACTCACGGCTGGAAAAATGATGGAGATGTCCCTGGCTACTTTCACGGATGTAAGTGTTAGACAGGAATTTCAACTTATATGTACCGTATGAAAAATAATTTACAGATCTGCAAATTGTCAATGGGATACCTGAACGTACTGCGCGAGACTATATAACAAATGATAAACTATGATAACATTTGTCGAGGATAGTCCGTGACGTTACTCGCCAATTTGCTTTGAGTAGCGCAGTTCTCATTACTATTTTATCAAAGAAGCACAATAATTGTTTGTATAACCTCATGAAAATTAATATTTATTCAAATTTTTTCGAGCTGCTTACTATGGCAGTCAAAGAGAAAATTGTACTAAATCCATCTAGAATCCTTGTTACCATATTTTCTGTAATTATCACCCTGATAGCCTGTTTTGTGCCTGACTATTCTTAAACGGCGATATGCCTGACGGCATTATTCTTTATAAAAATTGCGATATCACTTACTCGTGTGAAAATAGTCCAAGGGGATGACAATATAACACGCACACTACCGATTCGTCCTTTCCGGAATTATAAGTATCATGATAGACGAGGAACTTATAATAAACGATGTAATAATATTCTGTTATAGCGAATAACAGAGAAACAGAGCACGATGGTGTGCTCGCCAACGCACAGCTGGTTCCCCTCTGTTTGCGCAATCCTTTTTAATGCATATACTTATAGTATTGCTCGAACCGTTGATCAATGAACGGGCTAGAAACATCATTGTAGACAACGGAAAACTTCCATCGGAGATTAAAAGCGTATCAAATTTTCGACAACCGTCATCTTTTTATAAAAATTTGTAATAAGTTGTTTATAATATTTTTGTTCGTCGCGTTTCTATAACTTCTAAATCGCAATTACACTATCTTGAAAAAATGAACGGTAGTGGCAGGATCATCAAGTTGCTCTTACGAAAGAACTTTCCTCAGACGAATGAATCCGTCTTGCCCGTACATATAATTTTCAAACGTATAATTTCAACAAGTATAATCCAGATCTCCGTATGAAACGTCCGATGTTCCTGAGAAATGATATTGTTTAACATTTGATATACGCAAGCGCTACGATGCCCATAAAATCGAAACCTATCCCCTCTGCTGGTTACGTGTATCCAGTCACGTTCGAGCATTCGACCATGGATAACTGGTATCAGACAGAAAAGGCGGAGCAAGGTTTCAAGTATGCTACGAGCCTTGTGAAACCAATTTTAACGTTCCTCGGCGTTTGGCCTCTCCCACTTGACTCGCACCTGTCCTCAAAAATCATACAAAAAATCGTCCAATTCGTCACATACTTCTTATTCTTGTTCTGGCTGGTACCATATTTCCTATACGTAGTTCTAAAAGAGAATAACCCAAAGGTAAGAATGAAAATGATCGGATCGCTAATTATGTGCATCATGCAGCTAATCAAATACACGATTGTGTTACTTCGGATGAAAGAGGTCCGGCAGAGTTTGAATACGGTGAAACGGGATTGGTATACCGCGACGGAGAATAATCGGCTAATTTTCCTCAAGACAGCGAAAGAAGGAAAGAGAATAGTGATGATCGTCGCGGTTACCATATACGGCGGTGGATTAAGTTATCGGCTTGTACCCATAATCAGAGGGTCAATAACGCTAGCTGATAACACCACTATAAGACTCTTACCTTTGCCCTCGTACTACGTAATTTTTGACGCTCAGCAATCTCCAATTTACGAGATAATCTGCGTCATGCAATTCTTGGGCGGGTTTGTATTGTACTCGACCACCACAGGGACCACCGGGATCTCGGTCTTGTTGACTCTTCACGCTTGCTGCCTGCTTAGAATCCTGGCCAACAAGATGAATCAACTCAGCGAGAACGAGAATATGCCTGAACATGAAGTGCAGCAAAGGATCGTGGATATCGTGGATTATCAATGGAACATAAAACGGTGAATGGAATTTTTGTCAAACAACAAAGCTCTTTTCCTTTCAGTTTTGTCCCAGTACATTAATGTATGTATGCGACGGTTGTACGGTCATATCAGTAAACGTAATTTCTAATTCTACTGACCACTTTTTTGTTGCACAAACATTGTACAAACAATTACATTTGCTTAATTAATAAACAATTTATACATTTAGGATATTGCTGATTACAGATTTTTAAACGATGTTCAAAGAGTATTGGAATATATTTGTCTGATCGAAATGGTAGGGGGCACGATTTTAATATGCCTCGGCGTATATTACATCCTCGTGGTACGAAAGTTGTTGAGCATTTGAAAGTCCTTAAAGCATTTTCAGAAATAAAATACCACTGTTTCGGATCCCACAGGACCTGGCGGATCATAATACTGCATCCATGATAATCTTTTTCACTCTGGGTTTATGTTGTGCGTTTTGTATTTTCATACTCTGTTACGTCGGTCAACTTCTTCTCAATGAAGTAACGTGCTATACTACTCTTTAGCATCTATTATAAACTCCCAAATTGTACCTGGATATTTATCATAAATGTTTTGTCTAAAAGAGTCAGATTGTGAGTCGAACATCTTGTACGTTGGACTGGTACCGATTATCGGTGAAACACGCTCGCTCACTAATATTGGTGATTGTCATGTCCAATTATCCGATGAGACTCACGGCTGGAAAGATGACGGAGATGTCCCTGGCTACTTTCACGGATGTAAGTGTTAGACAGGAATCTCAACTTACATGTACCGTATGAAAAATAATTTACAGATCTGCAAATTGTCAATGGGATACCTGAACGTACTGCGCGAGACTATAACAAATGATAAACTATGATAACATCTGTCGAGGATAGTCCGTGACGTTACCCGTTACTATACAG